GAGAGAGAGAGAGAGAAAGGTAAAATCCATGAAAATGTTAATCATATTTACAGCCGGCAGTTTTTTACATACTGTGAAACAATACAGACATAAGCTGGAAATAACTTTGAGGAAAGGCCCCCTATGGTTACCCCAAAACTGCAAAATAAATGTGTTGCGAATATCTATTTTGAATGTGCTATCTATTTCTAATGCTCAGGATCATCTATGGATACCAAGAAAAAAATTTACCAGAAAAATCTCTGTACAATTTATTTCCACCTTATCTGTTCTTCGATGTTGGCAGAGCCATTGTAAAATGTGGCTCAATTATCTCCATAGTGCAGTGGACAACATAAACGTATCTACCGTACTCAAAATCTGCTCGATTATCACTATAGTGAAGTGGGCAACATAATCCCCGTACTCGATAGAACTTCTAACATAGGCAGAATGAAAAAGAGAGTACTCACTCAAAATAGAAATCGGTTGATCTTGATGCGTGTACATAAACACCTCAGCTATAATGTGATCTCAGCTTCTGTAAAAAGTCTAATGTGTCTTTGTATGATGGATCAGTCCTGCTCAAAGGCTTGCAAGAATTTACATGGTCCGTTGAATCCAATACCTGTGTCGTAGTAGACATGAATTTTAGCATTTTGACGAACTTGCATGATAAGGTCACCTATGTCTCCATAAGATGTGGAGACAAATACGGTAGAAACCATCCTGAATGATTGACCCAAGTACAAAAGAACCCCAAATTTTATTTCAAAGCAAATATATTAACAACACCCAATCAATGTTTGCATAATGTGTTTCTTACTACTAAGAAAAAATCTTAAGAAGGAAAGCAACTTTATCCCACTTGGTTCAGGGCATCTTTACTGGCGAACAGACCCAAACTCGAGTCCCATGGGTATGTGAGGCGCGGGATGTTTCTTTCTTTATTACAAAAACATATAATGTTTCTTCTTGTTAGTTAACTATTAAAAAAATAATAACAAACGTTCGGAATCTTAACGACAACTAACCTTCTAATGAAAATAAAATTTGCAAGTTATCTGTATCAAGCAATTAACTGAACCATTATTATATCACCAGTAAACTTACTACGAGTTCACCAAATCCAGGATATGCTGATTCCATGGGTACAATCTCCATACGAAAAGCCCAGCCTCCATAACCTTCTACTATTGGCGTTACTTTTGTCTGCCAAAAGCAAATAAATGTCAAATTCACATAAAATGGCCGCTAAAGGTGAAACTATGACAGAAACTCAGCGATTAAGTACCTCACAGAAACTAAGGACATCAATCGACTTTTTCTTATGAAGTTGACGAACAAAATCGTTCAGCTCCACTAGCCTAGGTGATCCACTTCTCAATTCTCCTATCTGGTCATAGCAGATACAATCAGCATCAAGAGAAACACTGGTGTGTGTCTAGCCAAGGTTAAATAATATAAAAGACAACTAAAACACTAACAGTTGGCGCAGGACGCAATACAAGACCCATGCGCCAAGGCATATCCGCGAGCTTGCTGCCAAAATGAGGACAGCTATAGAAAACCTGAAGACAACAACTTCGACATTTATGGGATATTGTGATGTGAAGAACAAATATGAAAGTCTCATTAAGCTCCAAAGGACAGACATACAATTCCAACAGTATTCTCGACAAAATTATCTTTGTTTTCTGTCCTGGCTTGGTATAACATCTGCTTGACAACCAGGCCTCCCATGCTGCAGAAGAAATGTTTTACTGTTATAAGAGCATGAATCCTATGCAAAACATCTTGAACTCCTATATACAATGTTAAAGATCGAAAGAATCCCTGTCTATCTTAACATCATGTTGAAGTTATAAATCTTCTCCAATATGCAATCATATTCCTCCCACATAGATGTATTTAAACTCTGAACTCCCAAATTTTAATATTTTAATGAATAAAATCATTTTACCTAAACAATAAAAACTTTCTTCCAAGCATCACTCAAGTTTTCTATCATCAAGAGGCAATAATGCCCTTGGTTTTTAACATCCACCCTTTTCCTTTAATGTTTCCATACACAAAAAATCTGGACCTAAGTAACACAAGATCAAATGGATTTAAGTAAGTAGTTTGCCTGTTACAGGCCAAGAAACATTCCTGCCATCCCTCTAAACACAGAAAATATGAACACAACATAAACTTATTCTGCTTGCCAAGCAAGCAAGAAAACTAAGATGTGCGTAATATCAAGTTTCTGAGTTTCAGTGAATTCCGTAGTCCAAAGTTAAAAAGAATCTTGCCTATGTGTTACAAATACAACCGGTCTATCCCCAATTCCTGCAGCAACAAGTTTATCTAACAGCATGGAACTCACTTCCTGTAAACAAAAAAAAAAAAAAAAAAAAAAAAAAAAAAAAAAAAAAAAAAAAAAAAAAAAAAAAAAAAAAAAAAAAAAAAAAAAAAAAAGGAAGAGAGAGAAATACAAGTAATACATGAGATAAAAAAAACAGCAATAATGAAAGCTATATCTCCAGTAAGTCCTAAAATAGAAAAGAACCATAAAGGAATACATACGAGATAAAAGGATTCAATGTTTGTATAGATTTCCAGGACATGGCCTGTAACTTCTTTTTGCTTCAGCGTAACAAGAAACTCAACTCATTCAGAACAATAAAACACACACAGGGTTGCTCCACGCAGAACTGTCTTTTAGTAAGTTCAAGCGGAGTATACAAAAGAAACATGTTGACTTGCCTGGCCTACACTATGTTAAATGGAATTACAGCTCTTCCAAAAACACAAGTACCCTTAGGTCGCAATCTATGGATAACTGAGTTTGAGTATGTCTAAACTTTGGACTGAAGGATTCAGGAGTTACAGCTCTAAGAAATTAGGCAAAGAGAACTGTCAACGGTGAGTACACTATACTGTAATCAATCACACACACAATCTAGACATAGAAACTTACAAAACAATAAAGGAAAATGAAAAGGGAAAATTGTGAAGTCCAAATAAGTAACTATTGTACATGGAAAGAAATTTATGAAATACTACGGATGGTCAAAATATATACACACCTGAAGAGGTAGGCTGGCCCCAGACCACTGTGTAAGATTTGTCTGCAGTTCAAATAGCAAGTAATCAGAATTACCAAAAAGAAAAAGCAGAAATAGCATCTTCATCAGCGTTATTAATGGCGGATGGTAATACATGGCAGTTTGCAAAAATTCCGCCATGGCGGCCTATGGCACCGCCATGACCGCGATCATTCACAAATTTTGCATGGCGGATTGTCAAAAATTCGCCATGGCCGCCATTTGATAACACTGATCTTCATTCTTCCCATTTGATGCTTCACATGCACATGATAATTTAGTGGCAAATTGTTAAAATGCCAATAAATCTGAACTAAACAATTAGATAGATTTACTGTATAAAATATACCTTGTATTTGAGACTAAACAAGCGAGCATGAGAAAAGTCGGCTGCTAGCCATTCTCCTGGCCAAAATGTCCCTTGCTTTCCAGCCTCTTCATCAATCTTCTCAACGAGGCCGGATTTTGTTGACGACTTGTCCTCAGACAACCGCCAAGTTTTGAAGGGACCCCCACGCAAGCCATGGACAAAAACAACATCCAATGGAGGAAACTCCAACTTCGAGACACTTTCAGATTCAGAGGTAGAAGCAGGAGGATTATTACGATCCTCCGTGGTTCTTGACAAATTCCCATTTGCCACCTCAGCAGAATCATCATTACCAGTAGAGTTATCACTAGAGTTTGACGTTCTCTGTTCTGTGCACTTCCAATGAGACAACCCAGGATTAATCAAAAAAATCATGTCAGAAAAATGTGGGCAGTGCTGTTTCTTGTTCAAGGAGCTGCTGTCAGCTGCACCATCACTTTCAGACTTCCAATCGGCAAGGTCACTGCAAAATGCATTCAATAATGTTGCCCTTGCATAACTCTGAATTTTAAGATCATTGCAACCAGGAATTTGCCCTTTCGCACATTCCTCAAGCCATTTACACCAAGATTTGTCCGCAACAATGGCTTTCTGGACTTTTGGAAGAACAGAAAGAACAGTGAGCAGACGTGCGGCATGCCTCCGGACGTGAGCAGTAGCCGGTACCCGTAAATTTGAAGGATCGTGAGTAGCATCTGCCGAAGAATCACCAGAAGTTGATGATACTTTCTCTTGAGCCTCCATAGCCCTCGATGCATCATATGCTTCAATTGCAGCTAGTTGTTCATAATCATCTTCCAACAAAAGTCGTCTGAGTAAACATAGCACTCCAAAGTCTGCTATCTTGACTAGACACGAAAGATCATCAGCACAAATTTCTGTTAGTGCTTTTATGCCTTTTAGAGTGGCATTTGCAGAATCTGCTGCTGTAATTTTCAGTGTTTTATCCTTCTTTAGATTTTTGAATAATCCCGCAAAGGGTTCAAGAGAAAGCAAGTCGGCCAGTGGAAATGCATCAGCATTATCAATGGCCGTCCCTAGTTGCGCTCCTGCTAAATTAACAACAGCAGTTGCCAACTGATTCGCAGTCTGGGTAGCAGAAACAACATTTGACAGATCAATTTGTGTCTGCAGAAAAGAATTTTCATTAAACCACATGGAAAGACCAAAAGAATGTATGCATGGATCGCAATTGGAATCATTGCAATTGAACAATTTAAAGATAAATTACTATATTCACCAACTGACCTTTACTTTATCACTTGTGAGCTGAGCACTTACTTTTGTCAATGTTGCTTTCCTACAGCTAAGAGCATCTGTTAGCAATATAGTCAGCCATCCTTGAGAAATTGGGACAGATGACGGCCCATAATCTTCAAGAATGCGCGAAAGAATATTTATAGCTGATGAACGGATTGTGTCCGATGAGACGTTCCCAAATATCCAAGAAAGTAGAATTGCTGACCATTTTTGACTCTCTTCAAGAGACATGTGCAGTTCCCTGGAACTGATTAGTTCTAAAGCTTTTGCCAATGACTCTTGAATCGCTCTATGATTTGCCATTTGTTTAGATGCTTCTCTCATCGAATGGAGGCCTTTATCCATTACTACTTCCTGTGCTTCAGGGCTTCTGTCAATAGAAACCAGTAGAGCAGACAGAGCCAGTTGGGCCAGCGGTATGTCCTGAGTTTTGCTAGCTTGTGAAATAGTAGAAAGAAGACTAGAACTCCAATCTGAAACAGAATTATTTAAAGGCAGATTTCGGTCCTCCAAAAGCAACTGCGCCAACCAACTCCCATGCCACTTTACAGATCTCTCAGGTGCCACTAATGCACTCATAACTGCATGCCCATCACGATCCAGTTCTTGTATGTGCACGCGATTAACTTCAGACGCCATGGCCCAATTAGCCAGTGCCCATGCAGCAAATGGAACCGCAACATGTTCGGAATCCAAATCATCCCAAAGGCCCGGAACTACTGCAGAATGCAACTTTAATTGTGCATGGGAACTTTCATTCATCCTGCTAAATAATAAACTCTTTGATGAATTACTTATCATCCTGGTATCATAAGAATCAGAATGATCTACATCTGCATATCCACCAGTTTCCGAGAACCCCAAAACTGTGGCACCACCGAGAACTTTGATTCCAATACCCTTCATTCCTTTTCCACCATCATCATCTTCATCCCCATGCAGCTCATCCCAATGCATTCCACCCTCTTCAATTACTGCTATTGCTGCTGCAATATCTCTCATTTCAGCATCTTTTGGTAACAAAGGACTAAATGATAATTTTTCTATGCTTTCACAATTAGAAGTGACAACATCCATAACTGCTGCAACAAGCATACTCTTGCCTTTATCAGAAACATAGAATGAACTTTGTTTTGCCTGCTTCCACAGAAATACAGTATGTCAATATCAGAGGGAACAGAGGTGCACAATCATTATAATTTCTAAAAGAACGCTCTGTTATCCCCCAACATAATCCTGGAAAACAATATCCAACCTTTTCCACAACAATATAACCAACAATAGCAAAATATATTGCACGCACGGAGCAGATGCATTTCAATAAACGGAACTAGTCTGCAGTTAGTAGTAGATACTCATTAAGACAAAGCTAATAGCAGAGGGAGAAACCCAGCTAAATGAAATTTGAAATATATCCAAGTAATCTTGCTGGATACTTGAAGGAAAAAAAAAAA